TTTTTTATTTCCCCCCCCCCCCCCCCCCCCCCCCCCCGCTACATCACCAACCTTTGTAAAAATTTTACCAAGCCATCTATGCTCGATCCTGCTCTCTAGCCTCGATCCTGCTCTCTAGCTCCCTCGTCACCTCCTCCCATGCTCACCACCAGGACTTCTCCAGAGACTCCTCCATCTTCCTGAACTGCCTACCCCACATTTGTCTAGCTATCTCCTACTCTGTCTGCCTGTAGGTGATCCTGGAAACCCTTCTCTCCCGTCTCTGGCCAACAACTGAACTTCTACTTTGACCATCAACTCATTTCCCACACAGTTATTACCTTTTTGTATCACTTGTATCTCCCTTTTAGCTTGTACGCTCTTACGAGTAGGGCAGTGGCGTCACAAGGGGGGTTTGGGGGGTGCGGCCCGCACTCGTGTGACACCATTGGAGGGGTGAGACCAAAATGACTGACAGTCATTTTGGTGTCACCCCCTCTAAAAAGTCGGGCACTAGGTCATGGACCAAGAGCCCGACAGTGTCAGGAGAGAGGAGGGGGCCCGGCCGGATTCCTCATCCCGCCGGGTGAACGTCCCCTCCGCTCCCTGCGGCGCCCATCACATAGATGGCCATCGGCAGGCGTCAATTAGATCACCATGCATGCGCGATAATATCATCGCGCACGCGCGTGGTGACGTCACACGCATGCAGTCTTTGCTCCGGGTGACACCCGGCCTCAGGACGCCCCTGGAGTAGGGTCCTCCTAACCTTGTCATGCACTCTATTGCAACTGTATTGTCTCCCTTATTTATTGTAAAGCGCCGCACAAACTGTTGGCGCTATATAAATCATGTATAATATTAATAATTGCCTTGAGCTAATGATTCACTTCTTTTCAGCATGGGTTTTAGGGGAGCTGGACCTTGGAGGCAAGTGTAATTAACACATTAAACTTACCTCCAACTGTTTTTTCCATCAATATTTAATGAAGATCTACTTTAAGGTCCAATTGCTGGGGCAGCAGAATAAAAGTGTAGCATTAAAAATATAGACACCATTATATACTATTACATTTCTTAAGTAGACAGCACAGAAGCTGACTGCAGCCAAATCAAATTCAGTTTCTTTAGGCGCAATCAGTACAAGATAGAAGTGTTGTACAAAACTTCATTCACATGAGAATCACTGCCCAGTTCCTGTGTGGATTTCCTTCAGTGGCTTTAGCAGAGCCAGACACTAAGGGGCTGATTTGTAAAGTTTTCATCCAGAGTATAGCTGGGTGAACGACGTTCACAGCCCATTACTGCCAGTAGATGGAGCCGAGGAGCATAGGTGATTGCTATGTTCCTTGGCTCCATCTAGTGCAGTATTGCATTGCGAGTGTCGTTCACCCAGCTATACGCTGGGCAAATGCTTTATAAATCAGTTACTAAAACACTGTTCCAAATCCCTGTCCCTGTCCTCCACACTGTTGGTGCAAAGTGCTCCCCTTCAAACTAAGGGAGCTGGAACTATTACTCCTACCCTAAAACAACAGCTCATTCATAATGTAGTTATATTTTATTATTATTTTTTTAAATATGCTTTATCTGGCAGCAGACCCGGGACAGTGGGCTTTACAGGGAAGATTCACCAAGTTTGTGTAACGAACAGTTAATCCCTCCCTGCTGGTAGTTGACCTATGGACTAGATATACGGAGTCCATGCGGCATGAAGACTTCCATAACAGACTGTATACTGGTTTTAATTTTAGTGGTTAATTATTATTGTTGCTGCTTTATCTTTTATATAGCGCCATGATCTTCCACAGCACTTCACAACAGGGTAATAATCACATAACATGAGTGGGGACAAAAGGAGCGGAGTCTGCAGAAAATGGCGCCATCATTTACAACTGTCTAGGGTAGCATATTCAACCCTAAATGTATACTGGCTGTCATCAAGGCAGGAGTGGATGGAGATACATTGCAGGCTTCTGTCTTGGTGGTGCCAGGGAGGGAAGGGTCCCTGTGATGGTAGCATTTTAGTCTTGAGAACATGACATGTTGTTCTGAAACCCAATTTGTTTTCCCACAGTGTTGACCAGTGAGGTTTGCTGCTGGAAGAGTAACAGTCTGCAGGTTCCTAAGTGCACTCCATTACCACTCTTGGTGAAGAATTGGTCAATGGGGTATCCTTCTGGTTCTGTTGTGGATAACGCTGTCTTCCTCATCGCTGCTGTGGTCAGAAAGTGGCAGATCTGGAGCACTACTCTGAGTCATGTAAGTCCTTGTCTGCATGGAGCATTCCTGGTTCAGAATAGCCTACAAATGTGAGACAATCTGTTAGAAAGCAGTTGTGTAAATGGGACGCTGTGAAGCTAAACATTTTGACTCCTCTTACCAGTTTTTCTTCTCTAGCTGGTGGGTTGCGTAGAAAGAAGCAGAGAGGTGCATAGAGGATATTCAAAACTCCAACGATGACCATTAACCAGGGAAATCCTATGGCTTTTGCAATGGCTCCTCCACTTGAGGGTCCTAAAAATTGAAAATTGTTCAAAGGTTATGGGAGCCAATAACTGTTGTATCAATTTCTAACATTATATTAGCTTATGAGTTTTTTCATACAAACCTAACAGCCACAGACACTTTGGCATGGTCCAGTTACACTGGAAGCCGCCATACACTGGAAAAGCCACCTGATTGCTTCCACGGGCTGGTAAACATGTGACCCCCACCCGAACCTCTCGTCTTGCTTCCAGGGCTCCGCTGCCTCTCTTGCAGGCCCAGCATCAGTGGCGTAACAATCGCCATAGCGACCCAGGTGGCTGCTATGGGGCCCGGGCACAGGGGGACACGGCCAGGGCATCCCTCTGATGCCGTGTGGACCGCCTGGGTCGCTATGGCATGTAAGGGTGCTGGCTGTCACTGACATAGCTCAGCAGCTGCGTTTCACTCACAGCCGCTGCAGAATGACAGCCAGCAGCTAGGCAGAAGAGGCCAGCGTTCGCAGTGAACGAGGAGGCAACCCCGCCTCCTCTTACATCACTGACCAGCAACCTAAGAGCAGGTGGGGCCAGTGATGTAAGAGGAGGCGTGGCCAAGGGACGGAAGAGCAGGCGGGGCCCGGCGACCACAGAGGCGGACAGCGCTGACAGGTAAGAGGTGTGCAGCCCATCTGAGACCCTGCAGAGCCCACTATAGAGAGTCTATGGTGGGCTCTTCAGGGTCACTCTCAGGTGGGCTGTTTGGTATATCAGGTGGGCTCTGCCAGTGGCATAACTAGCAATCACGGGGCCCATATAAAATTTTGCTATGGGGCCCTGTGATTTCTAGTTACGCCCCTGCCCAGCATCAAGAGTGTCAGTGGGTAAAGGGGAGAGAGACCAGCAAACATGTAATGATGTATAAATGTGCAACTGAAGCCAAAACCTTTTTTTTTTTAAGTTTTGGATAGAGTGGAGAGGGAACACCTAGTCAAGTTTGTATTGCTCTCTATGTGAAACTCACCCTCTCTATTTGTCTTGGTGACCGTTATCAGTGAAAGAGAAAGAAAATCCCAAGCTTTGGGTTGTCGCCTGAACAGGAATAGATGGGAAATCTTCCACTAGTTCTGGTAGCCACCAGGCATGTCCCTCGCTTTGGAGGGATTTCCTCTTACTTCTTGTTGCGACTAGTGGACAGGAAGTGAAGGGAAATCTCCCCAATGGGACACAGATTGCAATAAAAAAAGCTGACGGGGTTATAACCCTCCCTAACTCTATCCATAGCTAAAAAAAAAAAAAAA